GGAAGAGGGGGATGGTCCAGCGTCACCCCTCCATCTGATCTAACCTGGAGCCCTTGACTTCTATCCAGAGGGCCTGGCGGGCTCTCACCCGGGAGGGTGCGCGGCTGCCAACCCGGGCTCCTTCCCTCCTCACCTTCCTCTCTTTGAAGCGGAGCTGAGGCGGCCTTCAGTTCTTCCCAGAGGACGCAGGTTAGGGCCTGACTCCGCCTGACCGCTGCCCTGAGCCGTGAGCGCCGCCTGCTCTCCTTTGACTCAGTTTCTTCCCTCTGGGCTGTGGAGCTGCGGTGGGTAAGAGGGGGAGGTAGGCAGCTGTCTCCTTCCCGCAGGCCCCGAACCCTGAGCCCCTATCCTCCCGAGCCCCCAGCCTGGTGTTCGGGGCTGGGTCTCCTCTGCCTGCAGCAGGCTGGGATCCCTGAGTGAGGTCCCCAGCTGCAGGGGCGGAAGGGGTCCTCGAGGCTGTGGAGGCTCCTCCCCCCGATGCCAGGAAACTCTGATCCCCATCCCCCATGGAGGGGAGGAGAGCTGGGTGGAGTAGTGGGGGAGGCTGTGGAGAGAGGCAAGGAGCCAGGGGTGCTGAGCCGACTTTGGGAGCAGAGAGCGTTTCCGGGTCCTGAGGGGTGAGGATCCCCTCTGTCCAAAGAAGGACCGAGCGACCCACTCTCCCAGGGATGTGGAGGGACCATGCAAAGGAGGCTGGGTAAAGAGCTCTGCGGTGCCAGGGGCTGGGTGAGGCCAGCTGCAAGGGCTCCTGCCATGCCGAGTAGCTGGCACCTGGGTCAGGGAGCAGCATGCGGGGTCCCTGGGCAGGAAGAGTCCTTGCTCTTCGGGGTGCCCACGCTCTCGGAGGAGCTACAGTTCCACTTTGGGACACAGCCAGCTCTGGGGCAGCCAGTGGGGAGAGGGCACAAGGGTTTTTCCGTGTTTTCCATTAAAAGTACTCTGAGCCCCGGCCCTCGGTGAAGGAACCACTGCACATGCGCCTGAGTCAGGGTGGCGACCGTGGGCCACCTCACCCACTTCCCCTGGATCACGGCCCGCTGGACACAGGCTCAGAAGGATGGTGGTTTGTGTGCTCTTTATCAGCAGTGCCTGTCCCTTTCCCGGGGCCCAGGGAAAGGGTCTTGAAGACTTTGGCCTCTCAGCCCCTGGGGCCAGGACAAAGGGTTTGGTCCCTCAAGTGACCTTCCCAGGTGAGTGGAGCAGAGCGGCCAAATCCGGGGGAGCCACCTGCTTGGTCTTCCCTTCCTTCCCTGCCATGCTGGATGAGGCCTTGGGGTCCTGCACCTCTCTGGGCTTTTCCAGCCAGCAGGAACCTTATTTCCCAGGGTGAGCAGCAGCCCCTCCAGAAACCACCCAGAGATCACCTTGCCCAAGGGTGCCCACCAATCCTGATTTTAGTCAGTTTGTATTCCCTTGACTGGAAGCATCACTTTTCTAGAACTTTCTGCGCCAAGCCTTGGAGAAGCCACAAACCCGAACCCCTAACCCAGAGTATCCGCTCTCAGTGGCTCCAAATCCTGAGGGCACTTGTGACCTGATGTTCTCTCTGGGGTAAACTTACAGCAAAAAAGGGTACATAAGCTGCTCTGTGAAATGGCACAGAAGTTGCAAATGGCACAGGTTCCAGTCCCCTCTGTGCCACCAGTGTCCGTTTGACCTGGAGAAAGTCATTGCTTTGCTTTGCTTTCTGTTCCTCCTCCTCCTCCTCCTCCTCCTCCTTCTTCTTCTTTTTCTTCTTCTTCTTTTTCCTCCTCCTCCTCCTCCTCCTCCTCTTCCTCCTCCTTCTTGTTCTTCTTTCACTTTATATTAGGGATTGAACCCAGGTTCTTTGGACTGAACTACATCTCCAGCCTCATTCTGATTTTTTCTTTTGAGACAGGGTTTCACTAAATTGGTAAATTACCCAGGTTGGGCTCTAACTTGTGATCCTCCTGTCTCAGCCTCCCAGGGTGCTGGGATTACAGGTGTGCACCAGCACTTGTGGCTCTCTGAGGTCTCATGTGTTTATATAATTTCTTTATACAGAAATAATGCCATATGAAACCCCGCACCTCGTTATGGCAGGGTCTTCCTATGCTGCCCAAGGGCCTTGAACTCCTGCATTCAACAAGTCCTCCTGCCTTAGCCTCCTGTAGTCTGGGACTACAGACAACAAAGTTGTTTTTTATTTTATTTTTGGTTGTTTTGAGACAGGGACAGGGTCTCACTATGAAGTTGAAACTGACCTGGAACTCACAATGTAGCCCAAACTGGTCTCGAACTCACAGGGATCCTCCTGCCTCAGCCTCCCGAGTGCTGGGATCACAGGAGTGCACCACCACACCTGGCAACAAAGTTGTTTCTAATCTGAGGGTCTCTGCTATCTTGTTTGTAAAATGTAGAGCTTGGCCTAGTTTGGAGCTATGGTCCCTTCCACAACTTAGCTCCTTTTCTGATGAGACACCCAAGCTCCCCGGACAAGAGTTATCTCAGGGACACCATGCCAAGCCCCTCTGAGCATGTCACTGCAGTTTTCACAGGTACCACCTTACAGAAGTCTAACAGCAAGTCCAGGAGGCAGGAATTATTACTGTGCCCATTTTATAGATGGACATGCTGAGGGTCAGAGGTAAAATAGTTTTCCCAAAGAACTCAACTAAACTAATGGGAGTGGTGGGATTCAAATCCAGGTCTGTTCATTTCTGGGTTCAGCCAACTAACAGTTGTCAGCCAGCAGAGCTGGGTTCCGGGGGGCGGTCAGAGTTCAAGCCAGTCCTCTACACATCGAAGCACACATGAGCACAGATGCCTTTGTTTCAAGGCCTGGAGTTAAAATAAAATGGTGAGCCAGGTATGGTGGCACTGTAATCCCAACACTCTAGGAGGCTGAGGCAGGAAGACTGCCCAGTTCAAGCCCATTGGGTAATTTAATGAGACTGCCTCAAAATAAAAAATAAAAAGAGGCTTGAGATATATAACTCAGTGTGAAGGCCCTGGGTTCAATCCCCAGTACAATAATAACAATATTTTTTTTTTTTTTTTTTTTTTAATGATGAGCAATTTGGTGTGGCCAGAACCCAGAGCCTCGAAGGTAGGAGACAGGGAGGATAAAATGGAAAGGTGGGCTGATGCCGGCACTGACAGCTGAGGTGCAGTTGGCTGGCCTTCTGGGGGTTAGCGCTGTGCTCTAGAAAGACCCTGCTGGTGGCACTCTGGAGGCTGCACTGATGAGCCCGGAACTGCAGACCACTTAGGGGGCTGGGGGGCACTTTGGGGGAGAAGGAAGGGTGTGAAAGCTGCCAGGTGGAAGGAGAGGTTGCTGTGCACCGGGACTAGGATGTAACCCCTACTCGCATCTCAGCCTGGGTTCCCAGCACTGCACAGATCAGGGGCTCCAGTTCTCCCTCCTTGCCAATCGTCTGTGCCTGGGGTTGGTCCAGGGTTGGTCCAGGGATTTCCCGGGTGTCCCTCTGGGCTCTAGACAGCACAGCAGCTGTGGGTGAGTGGGGCAGAGGCCCCACCCCAGTGGCCTGGAGACCCGGCCTCAACCCTCTCATTCTGCCCTCGCTCGCTCTGTTTCTGGTGCCACGGGGACGCCACGCCTGTAATTACGGGGTTCGTGCGGCTGCGTGTGAAGAGGCCGCCCCAAACCACCAAGGGTGTCAGAGCTCAGCCCAGTGGCCTGGAGCAGATCTGGGTGGTGATGTCAGAGCCCTGCACTGCTCCTTGTCTCTGGTACCTCCTCTGGACCTGACCTTGAGTCGTTTTTCCTTAATCTCTAGGATTCTGGATTTTTTTATTTCCCCAGGGCTAGGGCTCGAACCCAGGCCTTGCACGCTGTAGACGAGCACCCTCCCGCTGAGCTCCATCCCGGCCCCGGCTTCTGGACTCTTAACCAGCTTTGCCACCCGCCTCTGATCCTAACATGGAAGTAAGCAAAGACCATCCAGCCAACAAGGACACGCGCTCAGGAGGGACGCCAAGGCAGGGCAGGGAGCAGGAGAGCTTCAGAGTGGACAGGAGACCGTTTCCAATGTGCCTGACAGAAGGCTTCCAGCCTGGGGATCAGGAGGCAGCGAACTGGGAGCAGGACACCCCATTTAATGGCCCAGAGGAACATATGTGGCTTTTGCTTGGAAAGGCAAGTTGGAAACAGGGACGAGAACAAGGCAAACTGTCCATCCATCATAAATCAAGGCCTGGCCTACCGTGCTCTGGGCTTCTGGGTGATTGTTTGGCTTTCTGGGAAGTTGTTAGACTCCTAGACTGACTTCTGTAAGTCTGACCTTAGAGGGCAGGCTGGCTGCTTGGGCTGGTTTCCATGGTAACAAGTGGTCTGGAGAGCTGGGCGTGGTAGGGAAAGAGCTGGTGCTGTACTTGGAAGGTCAGAGTTCCATCTGGCGGAGGGATACTGAGGATCAAACTGAGGGGTGCTCTACCACTGAGCTACATCCCCAGCTCTTTATTTTATTTTAAGACGGGGTCTTACTGAGTCACCCAGGCTGGCCTCAAATTTGAGATCCTCCTGCCTCAGTCTCCCAGGTATCTGGGATTATGGGCGTACTTCAAGGCACCTGGCCAAGATTCTTTTTCTGTCTGGTTTAGCCAAGCCTATCTGTGTAGTCAGCCTCACCTATAGCCTAGGAAATTTGTCCCAGGTTTTCAGACAAGCAAATGAGAAAGCAGAAAGTTCAGCTGACTTAGCTAAGGTCACAGAATTAGTGGGTTTTATAACCTGGCCAGGAATCCACTGGTTTGGGGAACATCTCTTCACTTCTCCTCCAGACCCTCCGGCTTCCAGTGGCAAAATAGATGTCTGGTTCATTTTGGTCCCCTGGCCCCCACTCCTGCCCTTTCAGCATGACCCCAACAGATATTTATTAAATGAATGAATACAGGTTTTTATGATGCTGGTGAGGGAACCAATAGGAATGCAGAGTGGGGACCCAGGCTGATGAAACACACTTGTGGTTAGAACTACCAGGCTTGTGGGCATGGTGGCGCATGCCTGTAATCCCAGCACCCAGGAGTACAAGCCAAGAGTTCAAGGCCAGCCTCGGCTACACAGTGAGTTCAAGGCCAGTCTGGACTACATAGCAAGACCCTGTCTCAAAAAAAAAAAAAAAAAAAAAAAAAAAAAAAAAAAACCATCGTGTTCCCAGCCACCTGTTTTCTGGCTTCCCACAAGAATCTCAGGCCCTCTGTGGGAGCCTAAACCACAACGTTTCCATGTATTGGACATTGGGATTGGGTCTGACCAAGCAGGGAGGGGCAGTCTGTGGAGGAAGACTCATCCTCCCAGGAGCTGACCTGGGGGTCCAGCCAGGTGGGGAGGGACACGAGCTTGAGGCACTACAGATGACAGAATTCCAAGATGGCCCTATGGTCTCCACCGCATTTGTGCAAAAGGGATGTACGGGGTAGGAGACCTGCACCCCAGGGAACCGGTGGTGGCCGAGTGTCAGGTGCCAAGGGGGAAGGAGGGTGCTAGATGACCTGGCTGCCAGTCCTGCTGTGTCCTGTATTGGTCTAGTGGCCCTCAATCACTGTCCTTTCCCAAGCCCTAGTTTCTACATCTGTGAAGCCAGACAGTGGCCCGGGGAATCTAAGCCTATCTGTGGTTATTGTGATCCAGATTCTTTGGAGCCCACGGGAGGCCAGGATTAAGGCCGAATCCCCTGGGGAGTGCTGGTCAGGTGGGTGTAGGTGGCACCTTGGTTCTGTGGGAAAAAGAAGCAGAATAAACCACCTCCCAATGTGGCCTCTGCATGAGTGGGCCGTAGGGTTCCCATTGCATCACACCCCACCCTCCAGTTCCCCCGAGTATGAGCCAGGGTTGAAGGGCCACACCTAGAAAGAAAGAAGATAACCTGGTGAGCAACAGGTGTGGTTGTTGATTTTTCCAAGGGCTGGGCTCTGCTTCCTGCTCTCTGAACACCTCCCCAGGCCACGGAGCAGGGGAGTGGTGACAACCCAATGAAGCTGTCTCCAACCTTCCCGTTATACCTGGTGCTGTGCAGCAGAGGAGGGAGTCCACGGAGGGGAGGTGACAGGTCCTCCCTGCCCAGTCATGGCCCTTCCGATGACCATCATGCAGCCGCAGGAGAGGGGTGGGCAGAGGTCCCGCATGCAGCTCGGGCAGCTCGGCTGTGTCTCTTTCTGTCTTCAGCCTCCACTCTTCCTTTCTCCAGAAGAGTCCAGCACAGACCTGGGCCCTGGAAAGCTAAGGGGGAAACATGTCATGTGGCTGGGCAGGACAAGGAGGTCCGGAACAGAGTAGGAGCTTGCAGATGTCCAGAAGGAGTTGCAGGGGGATAAGGGGACGGATGCCTATCTAGAAGCCAAAGGGCTTAGAGGGGGCAGGATGAGAAAATGCAAAACCATCAGACTTGCAAGTCATACCTCTCTTTGGGCAGCTGCTAGGAGCCAAGTCAGATCAGGCAAAGGGCATATGTAGTTTCCATTATAGTGGGTTATTGCTGCTTATGTGGGGGTCATTGCCCACAGGCCTCTGTCACCTCTCCAAGATCCCAGCTGCATGTCCCTTCCTGTCTGAGACTATTTTTCCTGAAGCAATTCTGGCCTTGTCACTGCATAGGGCCCTCCAGGAGGGGCCTAGGATGAATCTGGACCTCTCAGTGAGGCCTTCCCTGAGCATCTTGTGCTCCCAGCCTTTCAGCAACACCACCCCTCCAAACTTCCTCCCAACCATGGTCCGGCCAAACCTGTGGGTTGACTGTCAGATTCCCAGCACCTAACACCAGCCTGACAAACAGACATTAGGATCCATGCCCTTGGGACGTAAGTATGGGATGCGGATGACAGCAGCCACCTGGCATATAGGATACTTTTCCTTTTGGCTTGAAAATACAGGGAAGGGCAGACACGTCCAGGCATGGATCTTACTGCCTTGGCTGTGCTAAATCCTGTCCAGCTGGCTCTGCAATCCATTGCCTGGGTCCCATAGAAGTTTGAGGACTGCCTGGGCCCTCTCGCCCCCAGCCTTGATGCCTGCCCAGAATCCTGCCACGCCTCTTGCTGCCTTCCATAGCATTCCAGGGAAAGGAAAGGCACAAGATCAGACAGATGGTTTCCCACAGGAGCACTGCAATAGGGTGCTTGGCTGCTAAGAGAAGCCCCTCTTCTACCCCCAGGACCTGAAGCTCACCAACAAAGAGGGAAGCCCAGGAGTCTGAGGGGTGGGGAGACATCAGTCAGCCGGGGCAGGGAGGAGAAGGAGATGCACAAATGGTCATTTTGCAGTGCTGTGCTCCAGGGGAGAGGCCCTGCAGCTAAGAAAGCCTTTCATTGGTTTTTGCTGCAGGTGCCGACATTCTTGTGTAACAGCAGAAGAGACAGCCCCAGGTAGGGGAGCCGAGGCAGAAGACCTCAGAAGGAGCAAGGAGGTGCTCTGGAAAGCCCTGAAGATGAGTGAAAGGCAGACCCTGGAGGAATCTGGGAGCCAGCAGCCAGGCAAGAGTCTGGCTGGAGATGGTTGCTGGAGGCCAGAGAACAAAGTCTTCCTGCTCACCTCTTCCTTGCCCTCCCGAGTGTCAGGCCATCTGTGGGACAAGTAAGGGACTGGGCACCATCTGGGCGGCAGGAGGTGGGCCAGGGAATGCCTGGGGAGCTGCCACATCCTGAAATCACACTGCCCAGGCCTGCCCTTCCCTAAGAGCGAGGGGGTGTTAGGTGGCACATCCGGGCTTTGAGGAGGCAGGCTCCCTGATGGTGGGGCCAGGCATACTTTTCTGGGGGTCAGCGTGCTCTACTCAGTGTTGAGCCTGTTTCTGTGGAGGTTCAGGTTCCATGAGGGATAGGAGGTTGTGGGTTGTGACGTTTCCTGTCTGTTCCTAATCCTTCTGTATGGCAGCAGCTGGGGCTAGGTCTGTTAGTCGCCCCACTGTGGTTGGGTGGAACCAAGTAGGCAGCTCTTCGGTCAGAACATAAAATCACTTTAGCTGCAAAGGATGCCATCGTGGGTTCCAGGCTGAAAGCCTCAGGCACTATAAAAAGCAGAATTCCTAGACAGTCTCCATAACCTATCCCTGGTGTTACTCCCACAACTTTATTGCTGTACATATATTTGCAATCTGATTAGGTCACTAACTGGGTTATTCATTATTTGGGTGGGCCTCAGGAGCACATGAGTTCATGAAAAGCAGACCAAGCCTGTGGCAGCAAGAGGGCGAGTCAGAAATTCTGAGCACCAGAAGAATTGGGTGCACCCAAAGATGCAGGGCTTGTGAGGTGGCTACACGGAAAGGCTTTGAGAGCTGCCTCTAGGAGGCTCCAAGAGACCCTCGGCCAAAAGCTAGCAAGGGCCTCCCCCATTCCTACCACACAGGAACTGGGCTCTAAGAACAACCCAAGTGAACTTGGAAGTGGATTCTTCCCTAGGGCCTCGGGTGGGAGCTCAGACAGGCCAACACCTGGATTTTGGCCTTGGGACATCCTAAGCAAAGACCCAGTGGAGACTGCTCCCAATTTCTAGTCCACAGAACTGGGAGCTTTTCAGTGGACATTGTTTTAAACTGCTAAATTGTAGTCATTTGCTAGGCAGCAGTAATACCTAAAATAGATCTCTGCACAATGAAGTTTCCACAGCATTTCTGTTGACCCCAACGGAGGAGGGAATGTGGCGTTTGGATTTCACCCTCATCCTGCACTCTGACTGTGCCCCTGTTCCCCACAGAGGCAGCAAATTCTCATCAAATCCACCTCTGCCAGAGGCCAAAGCTGCTGATCAGGCCAGAGGCCAAAATCTGCAAAAACTAGTTATAGACAGACCAGTCACAGGGGATCAACCCAGCTTCTTAGGCCTAATCATTCAGGTTTCTTAGATGCTTGCTTCTCTGCTAACTTTCATATATACATCTTAGAATGAATTGTTCTGCTTTGGTTCTCTGACTTAAAGGCTTTGATTTCACCTATGGCAGACATGGCTAACTGTCTACCAAAATTCCTTACCCTTTTAGTATAGAGTTGTCATGGAGGACCAAAGATTACATTTCCCAGCTGCCTTTGCAACTAGAGTGGTCATGTGACAAATTCCCACCAATAGAATGTGAGCCAGAGAGAGCACACTACTTCTGAGTCAAGGCTATAAGAAGCAAATGTGCCTCTGCCGTACTTTCCTTCCTCATCTTCTGGCAATGCATAAGTGACAGTGAGACCAGAGGGAAAGAGGGAGCCTCTGGATGAACAGAACCTGGGCCCTTGAATCACCATGTGGAGAAAAGTCACTAGCCAATCAGGAACAACTGCTTTTCTCTGTTGTGTGAAAAAATAGCTTCTATTATATATTTGGGGGTTATTTGTTATTGCCTCTTAGCTTGCCCTTCATACCTTTGCTTCACCTTCTACCTAAATCACGTTGCACAAGATGCTGACAAAGCCCCTGGGATGAAAACCTCCAACTCACCCTGTATTTCACTTTCCCTGGCTGGCTCCCTTGTCCTCCTCACTTCACACTGTTTGCTTGCTCTGAAGTCTGGCTGACTCAGCCGGCCCGGGCCACCATCCATCTACTGTCGGTGGGCGCCTGGTCCCAGCAAAATGCACATTTATTCTCACACACATAGGGTTCTTTTTTCACCGAAGGTAGTGCAGCAGTGTATTTGGAGAAGCCAGCTGCTGTTCAGCACATGGCTCCTGGTTACTTTGGGACACAGCCAAGGAGTTCATGTCTTCAGCCCCAGTTCCCTAAGCCAGAGCCTCCAGAGGTTGGCAGAGAGGCACAGAGGGGCAACGGAGTGGGGAGAAAGCCAGAAGGAGGTGATAATTCTCTCTGAAAGCAATTAAGCATCTCTTGGTGGCCTCAGGGACAATCAACTTTTTGTACTTTTTCTCCAGGGAGCAGAGGAAGAAAATATCGTGGGCTGCAGTTCTTAAAAACCCTGCTTCATACCGTGGCTTTGGGAAAACAGAGAAGCTGACTGCAGGAGCTCTACCTGCTCACCCCCTGCTCCAGATGCTCCCTCCATGAAGACCCCTGGGATAAACCAGTGTGGGGACCCAAATGCCATCACTCGTTTCTGATGGCTCTGGATTGCTGGCCTCTCCAGGAAGAGGAGAGGCTGGACTGAGGGTGGTAAAGAAGCCCAGAAGAGTCTGCAAAAGCCCTCAGATGCAAAGGCCCACTCCTCCAAGCGGGGTCAGATGCACTGGAGGTTATAGAATGGTACAGCCATCCTCCCAAGGGCTCCACGAAGACTCTGCCTCAGCAATTTCCAGAACAAATCTGCTGTTCGTTTGAGTCAGGCAATCACAGGCTACAGATTCCCCAGGGGCCCAAGAATCCAGCCACTGGCTCCTCCTGTCCTTGCAGAGCAGGACAGTTAGATACACACAGCAGCACCGAGGTTAAACTACGACGGCCTGGCCTGGGATGCCCCTCAGATGCCCAGACCCCCCTCAGAGAGGGTCAGTAGGTAGCCAGGTCTCTCCAGGGCTCTCACACAAGTGGCCCGGATGGGGACAGCTCTGCTCCAATCCCCGGTAGCTCTCACCCTAGCCCTGCAGTGGTGGGGAGCTACGGAGCCAGGGTGGATGTATCCCAGGTGCTCCAGAAAGACAGCTCCTAATTTCCCATATCTTCATGGTGTCCCCACCCTCACCTGGCCAAAGTTCTGCCTGCTCAATCTGATCCCTTCTCCTCTTCACCCAACCCGTTCCTCTTTTTTGTTTGTTTGTTTGTTTTGAGACAGAGCCTCACTATGTAATTCAGGATGGCCTGAAATTCCTCTAACTCACGATTATAGCACATGCTGGCCTTGAACTTGCAGTGATCGTCCTGCCCCAGCCTCCCAAGTGCTGGGATTACAGGTGGGTCCCACCTTGTCCAACCTGTTCCTCTTATTCTGCCAGTTTACTTTAGGACTTTGCTCATTCGTCCTCTCCAAATGTCCCCTCTCCCTGTCTATCTGGGTCCATTCCAGACCTAGTTTGTAAACATAACTGACCCGATCCCTAAGTGCAAGCCCCCAGTCTCTCCCAGGAAGCCCAGGTTTGGCAAGTGTAGCACTCAGGGTACTGGGTCACCCCTGGAAATGCCAGAGTCCAAAGTCTACCCAGGACTGGCAGCTCAGATGGTTCCAGGGGCAGAAATAACCTGAGCCTGATGCCCTTTACTTCTTGGGAGTGACTCAGCGAGAAGCTAGCAGATGGGACACATCTAGCTCAGCAGAGGGGATAAGGGGCGAGGTCAAGGCCTTAGGCTGTGCCATAGGGATGGGCACTCAGAACAGTCCGGGCTTTGCTCCGGGGACAAAAAGCACACAAAGAGACCGCTAGACCCCATTTTCCACTGAGGAGCCAGGAGCAAACAAAAGGTTGGATGACACACTCAGCTGGCAAGGGTGGGAGAAGGCACTCTCGGGCTTTGCTAGGGCTGTAAGCTGATCCCTTCTGCCTGGAGGGCAGCTCGCCAGTGTCTGCCAAAGCACAGGTTCTTCGACCCGGCAATTTTACTTCCAACTATGCACACTCATACTTTGAAATGGTCCCGTGGTGGTGTTTGTCGCAATGACAAAAGATGGGAGGTGCCCTTCTTAGGGGACTGGGTCAGTGATTGGGTACAGTGGGCAGAGTAAGGAGTGGGAGACCCCGAAGAAGGACCCCGGAGCCAGGTGGCAGATGAATTGTGAAGAAGAGAAACAGCGGGCTACGCTGCGCAGGTCCTCCTTGGGAGGCTGAAGAGGACGGCAAGTTCAAGGCCGGCCTGGGAAACCTAATGTCTCAGAGATAAGGAAGGCTAGGAGTGTAGCTCAGTGGTAGAGCCCTTGCCTGGCACGCAGGAAGTGAGAGGAAGTGGGGGAGGAAGAGGAGAGTGGAAAACCAACAAAGTGAAGGAGCTCACCAGGCTGTGGGGCTGGCAGGCTTCCAGTCTCAATGCAGGGAGGAGATGGCGTGCTCCGGCCGGGTGAGAGAGAGACCGCACACAGGCTTTTCTGCTCCAGTGTTGTAAGGAATGTCCCTGAATGGCTAGCAAGGAAATGGGTTGCCTTGGTTTTATAGGGACAGCTGTTTTCTCTCTATATATTTTCGTGACTAAAATTTTGACCAGGGTGGTGGTAATCCTGGTCATCACAGCACTTGGAAGATTGAGGCCAATCTGGAAGTTTGCAAGTTTAAGGCCAATCTGGGTTACATACAGAAACCTCCTCATGAAAAAAGTCACCCCCCCAAATCTTTTTGAGCTATTGTGAGCAAGTTTCCTGTTAAAAAACCAAATAAATATAAAGTATGTGGATCCTGGCTGTGTAATGGAAATGATACGATATCAGTGTTGTTTTTAATGGGCTTTTGTTTTGTTCTGTTTTTGACAGGGTGTCTTTCTCTACTGTCTGGGCTGGTCTTGAACACCTTGGCTTCAGCAGACCCTCTTGCCTCAGCCTCCTGAGTAGTCGGCACTACAGGTCTGTGCCACCATACCCAGCTTGCCTCAGTAGCTGAAGGTGAGCAAGTTCCAGGAGAGAATGGGGTGGTAGAGAAGACAGTGTCATTTTACATCCACATGATTACTAAATTTTACAAACACTCCCTTTTGTGATGCCACATGCAAGCCTCAGGAAAATCTGTTGTTGTTGTTTTTTAAAGGTAAATGGAGACATTAGCCATGCCTTTGATGCCAGCACTTGTGAAGCTGAGGCAGGAGGATTGCCAAGAGTTAGTAGAGGCCACACAGTTAGTTCCAGGCCAACCTGAACTACACAACATAAGCTTCTCTCAGGAAAAAAAAATGAAAAAGAAAGAAAGAAAAGAAAGGAGAAAGAGAGAGAGAAGAAATGAAAGCTTTGCTTGCATAGTGACCCACTTTATAATCCGAGAGTTTAAGAGGCTGAGGCAGGAGGATCTCCATGAGTTCAAGGCCAGCCTAGGCTACATAGAGACCCTGTCTAAACTCAGACATTGCCAGAGGGTGGCATCAAATTTCAGGTCAGTTTTATACTACCTGGGTGACTTTGGGGGAGGTGTGGTAGGAGTGTGTACTCCCCAAACTCACATGCTGAAACTTAGTTCCCATGGTTACGGTATCGAGAAGTGGGGCCTTACAGAGGGAATTAGCATTTTTATAAACTGGCCCATCTTGTGAAGACTCAACGAGGAGGCACCATCTTGGAAGCAGAGAACCAGCCCTCACCAGACACGGAATCAGCCACTATCTCCTTCTTAGACTTCTCATCCTCCAAAACTGTGAAGGGTACATTCACATGGCTTATAAATTCCCCTGCCTGAGGTGTTTTCTTGTAACAGTCCGGACTGAAACAGTTGCTTCACATGTAAAGCAGGAACAATAACAGTTACCCAGGCCCAGGGTGGCTGTGGGGGTTGAATGACCTTACACTTAAGGAAACAGCAGCCTGCAAGTCCAAACAGGCCAGGTTTCCTGCTCCACTGTGGGCTGTCAGCAGCTCAGGACTCTTAAACAAATGAAAAAGAAAGTGTTTTACATCTACATCAGCATTTATACCCACTGTCAGCCTGTCGCGTGTACTTTCTAACATTCTTTTCTCCTTCCTTTCTCTGATCCTCACTCTCTCCTTTCATTTCTGCCCCCAAGCCAGCTCTCGTGGGGAGTGGCTCCGAGATTCTGCAGGCACCCCAGCCAGGAAAGGATCTGTGTGGGAGGGAGAAGCATTCATAAATGACAAGAGGTTTCCTTCCTCTTCCCCACTAAGTAGGTTTGAAGACTAAACCCCTGGCCAGAAAGAAAAGAGAGAAATGACAGAAAAACAAACTGCCTTTTTTTTTTTTTTTTTTTTTTTTTGTACCAGGGCTTGAACTCGGGACCTTGTACTTGTAAGGCAGGCGGCAGGACCACTGAGCTAAATCCCTGGCCCAACAAAATTCAGCCTCTACTTCTGTGTTCTTATTTAATTTTTAAAGTTACTATATGGTTACTGTAGTTGGGATCTTAGATCAAAAGCTCATGGTTTAAAGGCTTGGTTTCAGCCCATGGCACTATTGGCAGGTGGTGGAACCTTCAGGAGGTGGAGCTTAGTGGGAGGAAGTTAGATCATCGGGGATACTGGGGATTGTGCCCTTAAAGGACACATTGGGACCCACCTTTCCTTTTCTTTCTCTTTCTTCTTTTTCTTCTTCTTCTTCTTTTTTTATTTATTTATTTATTTATTTTTGAGACAAGGTCTCACTATGTAGTTGAGACTGCCCTGGAACTCACTGTGTAGCCCAGGTTGGTCTCAAACTCACAGCAATCTTCCTGCCTCAGCCTCCCAAGTGCTGGGATCACAGACAATGTCTCACTATGTAGTTCAGGCTGGTCTCCAACTGATGGAGATCCTCCTGCCTCAGCTTCCTGAGTGCTGAGATTACAGGCATGCGCCACCACACCAGGCCCATTTCTCTTTGCTTTCTGGCTGCTTCCTTTGCCAAGTGCTCCTGCCAAAATGTATGGCCTAGCTACAGGCTCAAAAGCAGGACAGCCAACTGACCTTGGACTCAAACCTCTGAAAGTGTGAGCCAAAATAAACTTTTCCTCTTTTTAAATTGATTAACTCAGTTATAGAAATGGAAAGGTGATTAATACAATAGTAAAACTGACCTTTCTTTCTTTGTGGCATTTAGATTCATAGAACCGCCACTATCACCACAATCAGGATACAGAACAGTTCTATGGCCCAAAAACACTGCTTTGGAACCACACCCTGTCTCCACCCTTAGCCCCTGCTGGGCAACCACTGAGATATTATCTCTGCAGTTTTGACCCTTTGAGAATTCATAGAAATGGAATCGTAGCCTTTTGACAGGCTTTTCTCATTCATAATAATGCCTTTGAGACTCCCTCGATTGTGTGCTGAGTAGCGTTCCATTGTGTGGTGTAACAGTGTTTATCCATCCATTCGCTGAAGGACTTTTGATTTGTTTCCAAGTTTGGGTGATTATGACCAGAGCTTCCATAGATATTTGTGTAAAGATTCCCAACCTAGAGGTAATTCTGTCCCCCAAGGCACAGCCGGGAAATGGGTAAAAGTCGGGACACTGCTAAACTACTAAATTCCAGGTCAGCCCCACAAGATCTGGTCTAAAATATTGATACTGCTGAGACTGAGAAACCCTTTTCCAGGGAGACGTGGGACTGAGATCATTGGGTCAGATCGTATATGTGTGTTTAACCCTGTAAAAAAAAAAAAATTATCAAGCTGTTTCCCAGAATGATTTTGCCGTTTTTTAATTTTTAATTTTTTCAGTGCCAGGGGACCAGATCCTGCCTACCTAGGTGAGTGCTCAGCCACTGAGCTACGTCAGCAGCCCGGCCTCACCTTTCTGCCTGCTCACCAAAGCTGGGTGAATCAGATTCTCCGATGCTTGGGGCTGTCAGCCTTGTTATTTTAGACATCCGCAGTGGGGATGCGGTGCTATGCTTCTTATGTGCATTGCCTAGTGGCTGACTGGTAACGACATGAACAGTAACATAGAATAATATAGAAACAAGTACTTGTTGGCCATCAGTGTATCCTCCTCGGTGAAATATCTGTTCAGGTCTTTTACCCATTTTTAACTGGGCTGTTTGTTTTCCTACTGTTAATTTGGAGTCCTTCATACATTATAGATGCAATTTTCCATGCAATAGGCAATTATGTCTTTGGCCAATCTATAACTTATCTCCCCGTTCTCTTAACAGTGACTTCTGCAGAGAAAACCTTTCACATTTTGGCTCAGAAATTGTATCTCAGGGGTAGAGTGTTTGCCCAGGGTGTATGAGGATCTGGATTTTATTACCAGGGCAATAAATAAATGCATATTTTTTAAAAAATCAAGACTGGCTCTCTGGTAACAGTAGCTTTATAATAAGTGGTAAATAGGGTAGTGTAATTTTAAATCCTACCCCTTTATTCTTATTATTTTTCAAAATGGTTTTGGCTATTTCAATCCCTTTGCCCTTCCACAGAAATTTTAGAACCATCTACATCCATAGTCACAAACTTGTTTCTAACTTGTTTTGACAAGATATAGACTCATGAGTCCCCAACTTCTCTTTGGAGGATTTTTGACACCAGCGATCTAGGTAGAACCTCTGGCTAAGCTCCCAGGGGGGAGGAAAAAAATGCCAATTTTATAGAAAACTCAAGAAGAGCCATTCACCTGCTTCCTGGGAGAACAGATGGTATTTTGCCTGAGGAATATGAAGAATGCAGATTTGCTTTCTTTCACGCAGGATGAAGTTGGTGTTTATAAAAAGATTCACAGCTAAGAAATGCCGCCAGTTTGCAAAGCCAACTTATCTTAGTTCTTTAACAACAAAATGGTACATCCTGCAAGATGTCACTTTTTCATTTGAAAAGCATTTTTCATGAGGCCAAATAAGTTGCCACCGACCCCACACATCCTTCTTACATGCGTCTTCCTGCCTCGGCCTCCCAGAGTGCTGGGATTACAGGCATGCGCCACCCATGCCCAGCTCTACAAACTTTCTAAAACTGTGGAGCGGAGGTTCATCTCGATCTGTGTCGGGTTGGAGCACAGTGCCCTCTGGGTCTCTGCTGAGGCTGTCACGTGACACCAGGATGAAGAGCAGAGGTGACCAAGGGGACAGTGGTCCCTCAGCCCCCAGCTGCTGGCTCCTATTCTGTATCTGGGAAGACTCCCAGCTCTGGCCTTTTGGGGAACCCCAGGAAAGATGGAAGGATGGGACAGCTGAGTCCTCTCTGAGCTGGTCGTGCAGTGCCAATATTACACTATTCACTACATTAAAGGACACCTCTGGGTTTTCTTCTTGTGCAATGGGATGATCTGCTTGGGGACAAGAAACCAATGGCTGTCAATCCCAGGGGCAAGAGCAGTGTACACAGCCTGGGCTGAAGGACTGCTCTTTCCGGCTCTACCACTGCCTTGCTGCTGGGCCTGGGCAAAGAACTTGACTTCTGTGAGTCCTTTTTGCCTGTAATCTGGCAGCTCTACAATATGACCTGCCCATCTCGTGGGATCATTGCAAGATGCGCATGATTGAGCATGGAACATTTCTGGAAAGATATAGCAAACCCAAATTATTCAGTGGCAGCCAGGCGTGGTGACGCACGCCTGTAATCCCAGCACTCGGGAGGCTGAGGCAGGAGGATCACTGTGAGTTCGAGACAAGCCTGGGCTACATAGTGAGTTCCAGGGCAGTCTCAACTACATAGTGAGACCCTGTCTCAAAAAACCAAAACAAAACCAAATTATTCAGTGGCTTCTCTTGGGAACAGAAGAAGGAAGT